ACATCACCTTGCATTGAACACATGAACCCTACAGTCGGTCCTGACCTGCACTACCGTTAGCTTTAAATATAGCCTTAAAATGAACCCCTGACCGAATCCCAACCCTAACTTTGAACCCGACCTAACTTCACTGGAATTTGGCACAAGGCCACCTGTATTGCAGACGGCTGCTGCTCTCATATCCTGTTTAGGGGGCCATATAAGTCAGTCCCACCCAGTGGTCAATAATGACTGTTGCACGGCATCACACCTATTCATTTTCAGATTTCCCTTTTTAAGTTTCGACTGCTTGAAATGTCTTATCAACCTGTCATTATATTCCCCCTTGCTGCATTCGATGTTTGCGCATTCGAATTCACAGTCACCTATGTTGATGACACTGTATCGTGTAGTTTAAGATAATTCTCCCTGCTACTTCTGACTCAAGTAAAGTAGTTGAGTGCCTAGAAAAGTTTGGTCTCGACAGAAAATTTACCCGACTTTGAGTTTACGCAGTCTTCAACAAAGTGGTTGGTTGATTACAACCTCTACTGTCATACGTCTTTGGGTAAACGGACTTGCTTTTCACCAGAGTTAGCCGTACTCTCCTCCGGATCCCACAAAAGGGACATGATATTAATGATTTAACGATGTTTAAGTTTATTGTTAAGACAACCGGAAAGGATCTTATATACTTGGACGCTGTCAGTGTTGTCCACAGTACTTTAATTGTTTCTCCAAGGAATCCAGACTGACAATTTAAAGTTCAGGAAAGTCGATAACTCAATTCGGACGATAAAGAATTTTGAAAGACTGCTTGACAGACATGCGCCTTGAAAGCGTACATCAGTATATTTTCCGACCTGTCGTTTGAAATTTTTCGCAGGAATTCTTACACTTGACGCAATGCTCTCCATGATCGCAGATTCTGAGCTTCGGGTTAGTATAATTTCTGCAGTTTCTGGGTCTTTACAGTCCATGCAAGGTCATGTGAACCAAAAATGCTGATTCCCCATTTCACACTTTACCCCTCGTTGTCCTTTTAGCGCCTGCAGGTCTCTTTCTGTCAGGGAGGAAGTTCGGGACTAGCATGCCTCGAGCTCATTTCGTTGATACTTCTACTCAATTTGGCGTGTTGGAGATCCTGCCAGAGGGCATGGTGTTCGGTTGTTACTTCACAGGCAACGATTTTACCGATCCTGACTTAAAATTCATAAAGCGTAACTCCAGCTGACAAGTCAATGCCAGCAGCAACTTAAAGTATTCACAGATAGAGTATACCAGCCATTCAAAATAAAAGGCATATCATGACTACCTTAAGTAACACTGATTTAATGTTATGCCTTTACTAAACTGTTTCACGAACCTTCCCAGCAGCATGAGTTTGGGTATCATTCTCGACCAACCTCGTTTTATACGGAGAAGGAAGGGATAGGTTGCCACCTCAGGTCGCCTCTATGTGCATTTACTTCTTTACTTGTTTCTGGTGTCAGCACTATCGTGTGTATCGTTATGCGACAGTGCATATAGCGGACTCGATTAATTCTCCTATCCAGTTCGACGATCGAGTACTTTTCCCTAAGCACGACATCGAGACCTGTACGGACAGCGTGTCACCATGTTTCTCGGTGAGCACCTCCCTGTGATAGTGGTGCCCTGAATGTGAATGGTAGCACAGAGCTCTTAGAACGAGCTTTAGAATATGAACCAAATAAATTTCGGCCACCTCCGTGAGGTTGTGTAAAATTCGCTGTCTGTGTTTTTTCCACTGCACAAGGTAGTCTCATGTGAAACAAGGTCTGAGTATTTTACTCAGATAGTCGTTTTTGGACAACGACATTCAGAAAGTCTACAGTTTTCCATATTCTGCGTCCATGGCCTTATATCCATAACTACAACAGACGACTTAAGGGACAGTTGTCCAATAAACATTTGACTTCTCGGTAATTGGCATCTGACGACTGGACCAGGAGCATTTTTAGAGGTTAGCAAATCAACCCTTATAAAATGTCCCTGCGTGCAGCTAGCGAGTCGATGTGACCAGCAAAATATGAATCTGTCAGGTGGCATCCCGAAGAAATAGGCACAATCAGGATCATGCAGAACCCTTTCTGAAAGTTAGATGGAGGCTCAACTGAGTAGGCTAGAGGATATAATGCGTCTTCACCAAAAACTCAACAACTCGGGAAGACTAATATTGATAAAAACGTGGACACAAACGAGGCCGTAATAGATTTTATTCACGCACCTATGTTAATCGGCTCGGCCCTAACCTGTCCTCATTGTGATCGCACAGTCGCCTCACACATCGATCTGGTCGATAATTTGTGAATCCATCGCACAGAGACTGGCAAACCCGTGTCTTTAGCTTCGAAGTACACCAGATGCTATCACCTTGGTTGCCTGCGATGCCCTCACACATTCAGTCATTCGCATGGGTCTGTTCGGCCACATGCGCATTCTCGAAGCCCTTCGGTAAATCACCGCAGACATGGTTCCCACGTATTTTCCCATCAACACATTCATCACGCACAAACACATCCAACACCCCACATCTCCGGCACCTCTCACGCGAGCCGGAAGTGCGTTTTTTGGCTCCTTTCTCCGTGTGGTTCCTCTGCCGCATATGAGACCCGAGCAGTCTACCCCCTGTGTGTGATATCTTGACGATGGTGCAGAAGCCCAACCCATGGACTGTGTCTACTGCTCCACCAGCGGGGGATGTACGTGCAGGTTGTGATTTCTGAATGGTTGGTAAGGCCTTTACGAAATTGTAACCTTACGGTCCCCAATAGCTCCGTAACTTGTTCACCTTCATTATGAAAACGTGTCTGCGATATTATTATGTCCTCGAGAAGTACTACTGCAACCCGCGTTTAATATTTATTCACCAACAAGTTAACCTCTCATTTGAAATTAATTTACTTGAATACAGAAATTTTTTCCGACAAAGGCAGACTAGGATGGTCATTCCCGGCTTACTGGTTGTCGTCCGTCGGCCAACCTTACCCCCAGCAAGGCAGAGTAGAAGCTTGAGCCCAGGTACAGATCGTCATAAAGCTCATACTCTGCAGATAAGTCACGGGTTCATACTGTCAGGGCTCTTTAATGTCCCGTGGAAGGGACGGTTGGTGAGATGGTCGGACTGCGGGACGGCATACGGTGCTCCGCCTTCCTAGAGCCCTCGGTGTACGTCACAAAGCAATCAGTAGCCTTCAAAGACCTAACAGACTTCCGCCGTAACACCTTTACCACTACCTTAGTGTGGGAAGGCCCACTGAGTCGCAATGTCTTTATGGGCATAAAACTGAAGGCACAACCGAGGAGGTCCGCAACATCAGCCAAATTTCCATACTAAGAACACCGTCAACTGTTCCTCTACCACCCACAAACTTTTTAGACCGTGATATCGGGTGGTTGACTCGTGCTTATTTTTATTGTCCCCACCTATAGCGTGCTTACTTGGTGGAACTCAATCCGTAAAGTGTACTTCGCGGGGCGGCAGGGACAAGGGCAGAGCGCAGTATGTGGGCGTGAGCAGTGATGTCTGAGGCCCTCGCGTCAGAGCTACATGCAGTTGTTTTGCTGACCACCGCTCGGTCGGCATACTACCCTAAATATTAACTGCAGACACGGCCCGAGCGTTGAAGAACCCAAAACACTCCCACCTGCTGAACGGTACGTACGAGTCGGCGGGACTGACTTCCGTGGACGTCAAAACAGGACATGGATATAGGAACGCCTCGAGCCAGGTAAAGGTGGGGAGGGGCAAAACACTCCCTCGTTCCAACCCCAACAGTAATCTTAGTGCAAAACTGAACTGTTGTCCTAATTATGTCCCTAGTCCTGCCCTAAGCCTTAACTCGGCAGTTCACACTAGCCCCCTGCACTACTTTAACGTTAACTTTAAATCTGACCTTCAACCGAATCCTTGGCCAAACCCCAATTTCACTGCGAGTTGGCTAAAAGCCACCCGTGTTGCAGGCGGTTCCTGTCCTCATGGCCTGTTAAGACGTCGACATAAGTCAGCCCCACCATGGGTCTACCGCCAAAATCTCTATAGCCCAACACTCAATTACCATCCAGTTCCAGATGCTTGCCGTGTTTAAATGATCTAAGACGGTTGCCAAGTTAGTCCGCAGCACCCTTTTGTCTATGCGGCACTAAACTGACGTTTTGTGGTGTTCAGCCGTCACCGATAGCGAGTTCTAGAGAGACGTGGCCGCACCCTACTAAGTGATGTTGGTTACCGATTCTGTGTCTCAACACTCACTGCTGAGGCAGTCTCCAGTCACCTCCGAAAGTCCTCATATTCACGGTGAGGGCTGGTTAGGAGGTAGGTTGTGCATTACGAGCCTCATGAGACTTAAGATAACTTGCGCAATATGCGACTGTTCGACTTTCTTGCACGCAAAGCCCGCTTTTTTCCACTCCATCCTTGGATGGATTACGGAAACTTGGTCAGGAGCAGTGTCGTCCATGTACTTTTAGTGTTGATCGACCTTGGACCGCCAAGCCAAGTTGGGAGGCGAGTGGTTTAAAGGACGGACACTGCGTCACTACGGTGGACGTTTGCGACGGGGGGGAACATCTTCCTCGGGAGTTCTTATTCGTGGTACTACACTTCCGGGTTTTGACGAAACGACAAAGACCCTTTCAGAGGCTCACGATAGAACAAAATGTTTGCCGGTTGCGGAAACAAAACAAAAGCAGGGAAATCTAGATTGCTTTTTGTCTTACTTGAGTCCCTGGGACATAACCCAGTGTCTAGTAATAGAACCAGATAACGCGAGTCGCTGGCAAAACAAGAAATGGAAACTCTGCAGGCATATATTCATAATATATAATAATAATAGGAGTCTGAAGGATTAACGACATGCATAAGACAGGGCTGAGAAGCAAGTGGAAGCGGATGCAGAACATGGCGACGCGGAAAGTGTAGCTCACGCGAAGGAGATGATCAGTCTCACAATAAGGGAGTGTAAATAGAACAGTTTTTCAGCAAACAGAGAATGGGACGCCTATAGAGGCGGCGGCAAGTCGAAGATAGAGGCAAAGTTGCTTTGTGCCATCGACCTGAAGAGTGATCGAGGAGCCTTTTGGGTGAGACCGGGTTCTCCCATGGCTGATACGGCCTCATCTTTTCCGTCCGCTCTCAGGGTTTGAGTAGAACTTACTACCTTGAGTTGCTTCCTTTCCGCCGGAACGGAAAATATCTGCATTGTGTTGGTGCTGCCCTTGCCTGCACCGGTACCGGTCACTATGACAACATTATCACCGGCTTCCACAATTTTTTGGTGCTTAATGGCCCCCATGGCGGCGTTGATGCGCATGTCCATGTCTTCAGACCAGTCGTCAAGTTTCTCGCCTAAAGGAATGAGAGGTGAAAGGATGTTGCTGGTACGCTCAGCAGGAAAAGTAAGCAAAGATTTCTACAAGCCCATAACGTCCATCCATCTTCTCAACATTTCTCTCACCACACGAGCAGAGGCAGCCAGATCGCGAGATCTCATAGTGGTATAGAGGGGATGGGTGGTGAATGTCGTCTCTGGATAGAGAAACTACGCGAAAGGGTCCCTACACGAAGTCGCCGACTTATTACGGTGCCCGTCGAAGCACGGCTCAGTCGGGTTTTTGACCGGCAGGAGAGTTATAGCTCGAGAAATACGGTTGAATCTACGGACCCCGAGGGGCCATCCCAGAAACTCAGTACGGTGGACAGAAATTGCCACTGATGGTATGTAATCTGGTGAAAACCCCTCCCGCTGCAGACCAGGAGGAGTTGTGAAGCCGTGACGTAAATGGCTGTTTGGTCAACCACAGCTCTGCTTCTAGCAATCGGATTGGTGATTATTAGGACCGGCGTCATCGGGAGGAATACCTCCGAAAACCAATCCCAAGGCGTCTCAATATATGGAGGCGTTTTACCCTAGAACCGGAATCAACAGGGAACCAGTGAACCACAAGTGGCCAAACGTAACCCTTACATAACCACGATGCAGTCAGCACTGGCCAACGGAAGAGCCATGCTATGAGTGGTGGTTACTTGAGATGCAACAATACCTGTTTTCGCAGAACCAGAATCCGATAGTCACTACATAAAAGACCAAATAGTAAGTACATGAGGATGCTAGAACGAAGATGCCTTATCGAGTTTACGTACACGAATGCGCAAACGCACACATTTACATAACCGGATGGACTGAGGACGCTGACATGAGGATAACGGGCTGTTACTTTTCGACCGTATACGACCAACTTTCATAAAAGCATACAAGGACGTAGCAACTAGACTTCTATAGAAAACGCAGTAACAGGTACTTCGTGGAGACGTTCAGGCGGCGGTTCCGTTTACAGAACCGAGAGCACTAGAACTTACACTTTCAGGGATCTCAGATATTGGTGTAAACTTACGACTAATAAGACTAGACTATACGGTTTGACGTGCGCAAGTCCTTGACTTTCAACGGTCACATGCCCTAGAATTCGAGTCAGTAGGTTTACTTGTGCACTCCGTCCTTTAGGGAGAAGTACAAGGAATGCGAGGTATGGTGTAGCCCCCAACGGGGGCTTTAACCAATCCAAGCATCGAGCCCAGATGAGAAACCCCGAAGACCTTATTTGCCGATATTCCGTTGTTACTGACAATGGACTATGAGATGACGCAGTCCTATGGGACGTCGACCTGGTGTCGTCTTTAAATATGTCTGCGCCATACTACTTTGACTGTGCTTTTAGTCAGGCTCATTAGTGTCTTACTTTACAGCATTTGGCTTGAGGCCATCTTGAGGTGCAACACGGCTGTAGGTGACCCCGGCCAATCAAACTGCAAAGAATTACTCCCGGTCATTAATGATTTCACACTGAATTCACCTCACCAGACTTGTCAGCCAAGGAACGCTCAGAACGCAGCGGAAACGCCAATATCAGTAAGAACGTATTGTTTGTGCTTTCGCTCTAGACTGATCACAGTAGGAACCATCAAGACTAGGGGAAGTCAAGTAGACTTTAGAATTTGTGGCTCTTACGGGAAAAAGAATATGTGGTTAGAAAGTTTCACCAAAGAACCTGATGTTCTGAATGAAAAATCGGCACTCTTATTAAACGGCCTATTGTAGGAGTCACTGAAAGTAATGGAAGACTGTCCGCAGAATGTGTGGTGAAAATGACAAGGGAAAATAAAACGGTCGTTTCTGGCCGATGAGCCGTTGTCAGCCGGCCACGGCCTAACTCCACGGCCGTGTGGCTTGCTTGTCGCTGTGACCGCCTGTAATGGCTCCAGAGCAGACGGAACGGGCCTGTCCCCTCCCGAATCCAAGTCAGTGAAGCGCCACATCAGCAAAACTGTTCTCGAACAAAAGAGCCTGCGGCTGGACAGTGAACGTACAATGTGAAGGGGTACGCGTCCCAACCCCAGGCTATCCAAACTAGTGTGGGAATAGGATTGGCAGACAGCGGTTAACAGGCCTAAAGCAGTCGCCCTCGCTTTTGTCGGTTTGCCCGTTGTATCATTTTTTTGCTGACCACCTGTGGAGGCCCTAGTCTGTAGCTCTGGGGGAAAAATGGGACGATGATGTCCTATGCTGCACCCAGATCATTGGAGCGCCATTTCAGAAAGGATACACACTTTCGATTTAGCTCGGATAAAGAACATTTTAAGGAACTTTGTGCAATACTAGGTAGTTTGCCATACTGGCTGAGCAGGTACTAGCTGCCAACAAGTGGTCCGTAGAATACAAATATCGGGCTTACCATACTGAAGCTAAATCTCTGAGCTGATGTTTCTTAAGACAAATTTAGAGCATGATTGTGGAGAAAAGTACCCCAAGACGAACATGGGGTCTGCGTTTTTAAACTACTAACTTCGTTGTATGTTTCCGTTTTTTGAGAGGAAACCAGAGAAAATCAACTCACCCAACCCTTTGCCGCAGGGTAAATTCAGAAGCACAAGGACCATTTTTAAAGCGACAGATGTTGGGAAGTCAAAGACTTGAGAATGGTATGCTCACCTGTGTAGACAAATGGGTGAAGGCCCCGGTAAGCATAACACAGTCGACCGACTTTGACGTCCCGTGTTATTGCGACGACCGAACAGGATGGCCTACAGGCCGAGATAGAGACGGCCGATCTACCATGGAGATGTGACATGAATAAGCATAAGCACTTCACTAGAATGTGTTCAAAAAGGCTTTATCTCACAAACAGGCGTACTCGACACCATGCCAGATGTTTTAATCGGGTCAACGTACGCCCAAATTTAGTCTTTCGGTCTAGACGGCGGACAGAGGTGCAGAAACAGCCGTGTCCAAAAGAACCGCGTACAAACTGGAAGAAGTCGGACTTTCGCCTCACTTTTAACAGAACTTTTAAATGGTGTTATGGCAGCCCTCTCTTTTAATGGGGGTAAAACACAAAATTGGCACACAAACACTGACGTTTGTACGTAAAGGAACTAGTAATTAGTTTAAGGAATGCTTTTCTCAAAAACATGTTCAGGAAAAAGTAATACCCAGCTTGTTTCGGTACCAGGGAAACCATGGCGTTTGGAAACAAGGAGTAAGAATAGGACTTTGAACAAACGGATGCCACGTAGCCTCCGAATTTTAAAATTCCTAAGTTCTAGAGTTGCGAAAATTCCCATTGGAAATTTCAAAAGGCAATTTGAAGACGTCCGCTTCCGATAAATTCTCTTAAGGCCTGTGCATTTATATTGACGGCAGACAGGAATTCAAGAATTATATGCGAGCCATTTCGGATAAACGTGGAGAAATAAGGATGACTTCTCTCCTTCGGAGTACTCACGAGAGCAGACCACAATCGAAGATTCCTGAAGATCGAGGTCGGTACGTACACAATCATTCGTCCATATTTCTCGATAAAACATCGACCGAAACCTTATCCCTGGGTCCCAGGTCTTTCTGTCCTCGCCAGATGTACAACCAGCTAGGGTTAGGAACGCATTTCGAGAACCTCTTGAATCAAACACACAACCTTTGGCCAGTTTCGGCAAAGAGCGTACATCTTAAGCCCACGTTAATCAAATGGTCTTATTAAAACCTGAACAGTGGTCAGAAATATCGGGGCTTGCTGACGAAGTTACATATGGAGAAGTTAAAGCAACTCCAGCAAAACAAAGATATTCTGATAACTAGGCCAAATAAGGAAACTGACGTTGTTTTGATGGACATCGCAGGCTACATTACAAAATGACGGTCAGTTCTGTCGGATCAGGAAGAACTTCGAAAAACAAAAAAGGAGAAGGATCATCAAGATGAGACTGCAACACAGCTGACTGTCTGAAAAGACTTCAGGCGGATGGTTGGATAAGCGAACACGACGTTGAGCGTCTCCACCCCCGTGCACGCATATACTTCGGTTGTACAGCTTGCCGAAGATCCACAAAGATGGCACACTAGTTTGTCCAATCGTCGATACGAGGAACTCGCCGTACCATACTAGCGGCGAAACTTAAGCCTCTGCAATATCAAATAGCGCAACATAGCTATCGAGGTACCTTTGAATCCATTAACGGCGTGAAAGACCTCGATCTAAACGAAATGGTTAAATTTTCGTCAGATGTCTCATCTCTTTTTACGAACTTACCGGTAACAGAAACGGCCAACTACCTCAGTGACGTCATTTCTGACAGTCAGCAGGATATAGGAATGCAAGTGAATGCCCTCAAGGAATTGTTATTGAGGTATATCTTGAACGTGCAGTTCTTACTTGACAAAACTCTGCATAGAGAGATGGACGGCGTAGCTATGGGCTCGCTCCTTGGTCTGCTTTTGGCGAGCATATTCATAAGCAAGCCAGAAGCTTTCCAGCTACGTCACCAGATCGACGATCTGAGATACTACGGGCTGTACGTGGATGATATATATCTGCAATTGCACCGGAACAAAGTAACGTCTCAGTTCTACTGGATGACATAAATTAGGCGCACTCATCAATCAAATTCACGCGGAAAGAAGAACGGTCCGGTTCGTTTCCCTTTTTGGACGTGCGTCTGAGAATAAGGCCTGACGGCAGTATTTGACGTAGCGTCTATCGTAAGAAAACGTGTTCCGGACAATACACCCATTTGGGGAGTTTTGTATCGCTAGACATTAGACGTAATTTGGTCCGCTGTTTGACAGGAAGGGCGAGAAGAGTCTGCTCAGTTGATAGCATTGAGTAAGATCATCGAAAGTCTTTCGCCAGAACGGGTATCCTGATCGATTTACTGCTAAGAACATGGCCGAAAGACCACCAAAACCCCGATGTTGACAGCAGGAAAGAATAGGCTTTTCATGAGGGTCCCATTTCACGGGGACGTCCCAATTGAAACTTTTAAGAAGATACCTAACTCAGGCTGTATCACGGACCGTTCCAGCAACTGACACCTGTGTACTGTTCTCCATTAGTCTCATCATATACGGAGAGGGCAAGGACAAACTACCAACTCAGACCACCTCTATGTGTATTTACTCCTTCACCTGCTTCTGCGGGACAGAATATATTGGTTGCACAAGTCGGAATTTGTCCAAGAGTAAAAAAGCTTATTCCAGCAGTTATTGAAAGAGTCAAATAAAGATCAGCAGCTCTACCCCAATTCTCTCGAAAACGTCTGATGATTCTAAGCAACAATACAATATTTTGGCGAATGTCTTGACCGTGATTATCGTTACATCTGACGAGATCAAGAAAAAGGCGATAGAACCGTATTGGTTCAGATTTAACTTAAGGTTTAAACCGCTACCTCCTTATACATATCTCGATGTTTGCCCCAAATGACTGCTGGGACGCAACGACAATTGCTTACAAGGGTCGAAAGTGTCAGGGGGAGAAAAAAGCTAAAAATTCCATTATCTAGTACAATCATACAAATTCGACTTCGATCTTCCTCCACCTGAAAATGAGTAGACTGGTTCAAGATTGAAGTTACAATGTCTCCTAAGTCATCAAAAGGCAGTACTTGAAGCAGGACCAAAGGTAACGAGCCCTGAAATTTGGAAAAACAGGCTACTAAGAAAATTGAACAGAACGCTTCTTTTAAGAGATTTACTACACCCATTCTTCATGTCCAACGAGCTGAAAACGAAAAAAGCCACTTATGTTGAATAACGAGAGCTAATCGGAGGGAAGAAGTGAAGTACCTTATTTTTAAAAGTCTCCTCAAAAGTGGGTCGAGGCAGGGGAACGTTCACTTTATTGTTTTATTTATTATTACCAAATGCCATAAACCGGGCTGAAGATCGAGACAGTCCACGAGCTAGAACTCCGTCGTGCCACATAAAAACCGCCTAACAATCTTCACCAGCGGCATTTTCGGCACGGAATATATTCCAGAAGTCTATCCAGAAAGAAGACAAATTGATCAGCTTGAAGTCATTGAGTTATCCCAGTCAAATGCGTGTAGCGCAAAAACGCGTGCGAGTCAACGCGGTGGCCCGAAACAACAACGATTCCTCTGCCTTTTATGCCCTAGACAAACATAAAAGGTTGGCAGGTTGATAAAAAATCGGTGCAAAGGGGAATGCTCATCACTTGCGAGATCAAGGGGTTGCTGTGCAAGCAAAAAGATGATCACGTGGTCCAAACAACACCAAAACCAGACAAGTTGAAAACATGAGATTGACGTTCGCTCTTTGTCTCCCCTTCCACGCACTTTAGAAATATGACCGCTGGGTATCCAAAAAGGTAATTATCCATAAAATTACAAGATACTTACGCTCCTGTCGTTGTGATCACAAGAATTGCTTTGGCATTGCAACTTGCAGCAGCCTCGACTGCAGAAATTCCTGTCACGTCCTTAATACTATATGCCCAATGAGCACGTGATTCTCGACAAATCTTAAGTTCTGAACGTATGGCATCATGGAAGATGGCCCGCTCGGCTTCACGGCAGATCTTAAAAACAAAGCCGACAAATTTAAATAATTTCGCTTCGGCGGTAAATGAACAGATCCAGTTCACAACAGGCTTGAAAATACAGAAAAATTGAAAAATACGTCTACGTAAAAAGGGAACATTAAGAAAACAGGTCATTGAAATGAATAACACCTGCGAGGTCAGCGCGTCATACTGTAACGTCTGACGGCACTTCCGAAAGTCTAATAGTCAGTTAACAGCTGACGAAAGTAATGATGCTAGGGTGAAAAGGCGTATTTTGTGAATTTACTGTATTTTCAAGAACTATGTACGACCTGAGGATATAAAACGAAAGATAGTTGTAAAACTAGGATTGGAAGAACTAGTGGAATGCAAAGGATGTCAGACAGGCGTTCAAAAACCAGCGGTAAGTAAGGGACATACCTGGTCAGCGACTTGCACGGACTCGAAGGGGTACTTGCCCCACGATGTTTCAACTGTCAAAATAATACTATCAGCGCCGTCTAAAACTGCATTGGCAACGTCGGAAGTTTCGGCGCGCGTTGGACGAGGTTTCATCCGCATGGTCTCAAGCAATTGGTCGGTAACAAACACGGGCTTTTCTGCGACATTACAGCGGCCAATTATGTGCTTTTGCAGCTTAAAAACTTTCTCGGAACTATATTGTGTTGCGAGCTCACCACGGCGAATAATAATACCGTCTGAGTACAGCAACAGCTCGTCGAGGCTAAAAAAAACAATAACTGGGCTTAGGAAAGAAAAATACTTGTAAATGCAGAGCACTTGGTCTTCTTAGAAAACAAGAGACAAAAACTATAACGATTAGATAAGCGGCCCCTGTGTCAGGAGGGAAGACAATGTTAAAGATTTCGAAAGAGAAATGGAGACGAAACCAAACATATGACTTACTTTTTAAAAGCATCACGCGTCTCGATTTTGGCGAAAATTTTCATTTCTGGTGGAAGGTGAGCCCGTGCATCTTTAATGAAGGACGCGCTCTCTGCCAAACTTGTGAAAACGAAGTCAACCTCACGAACTAAATTCAAACACGACTAACTTACCCCACATTCAGCGGCGAACTCTAAATCTCTTATGTAATTGGCATAGACAGAATCCTGATAAAGTCGTTCCCGGGGAAGTGTAACTCGTTTATAACCGCCGATAGACCCTTTAAATCAGGTAAGAATATAACAAAGTACATACCGCCTTCCTCAATGAGGCAATTTATGGAATCGAAGCCCGTATCTTTAACTACCAGACAAATTTGCCCGTCATCAATATGTATTCTGTCTCCTTTGCGCACACTGTGAATGAGCTGGGGGAAGTATTTTGTGTCGATAAATATTTTCTTCGCCGTGCACTTGTTCATGTAGGTCTCATCTGTAGTTAGTTCGACCTTGTCACCTTCCTCTAGAATTACTTCCAAATCAGACATCTGATATTGGGACATTATGGTAATCAACTTACGCCATCAAAAAGACCTGTACGCACTGGAGCCGCAGTCATATCCATTGCGATTGCAATGCACGGATTAAAGTTAAGAGATTCCTCAATCTTTCGGACCTCCTGTATGACCCTTTTGCATGTATCACGAGGGGTCATGCTCATGTTGAGGACCAAGACGTTCATACCCGCCTTTATCATTCTTTCCAGGCCTTCTGGTGAACTCCATGAATCACCTTGAATGAAATGATTCCCAAGGAGACTTTACCTAACGTGCATAAAATAGATGTTTGTCTTGCGGGTTGCGCAACTTGATCAATATCCAACTGGCTGGCATGGGCAAGTCGGGAAGAAGGCCTGACAGTCCACATTCGAGAAAAGTCTTTGTCGAACAGCATGTTGACTGAGCTGTCGGTGGCAGTTATCAGCGGTACAGAAGCCATTCTTGTCAGAAGGGAAAGACTACTTGAGGTCTGAAAGTGGAACCATGACCTTGAAAGACACTAAAGATGAACCGTTAAAACAACTGTAGCCTTGGTACGAGCAACGAGCTCACCACACTTAAGATATTAACCGTTGGGAGGAGTATAAGTTTTTAATCTGCTAATCGTGAAAGCATACAATAGGTGCGTCATTAATCTACCTCCAAATATTTTGGTTTCTCTAGAAATGACATATGGCCTTTTTTAAATGGCTAGCATAAGAATGGGATAATGGGCTGCAACATACAATATTGCAAAAGATCGAAGAAGATGAAGGTAAAAACTGTGTTCATGGTGTGTTTTGGTTCATTTGGACCGCCGAAATTCAAAAACTCTACCAGTAGAAAACGAAAGTTCTACCTTCTGAAGACAATCGGGCGTGGTTTTCAGTACGTTGCCTTTCTGATTTGGAAACGCACTCCAGCTTTTGAAACGGAATTAAAATTTGTGATTCGCCACCCGGAGTACCTCAGGGAGAATTTCAATACGAATCAAAGATACTAAATTGAGACTTGACGGAGACATCGCTTAATAATATCCGCGCGTTATTGGTCCTTCTTCGGTACACTACACGTATTTGGAGATGCTGACCGAGAACCTTTTGGAAGGAGTTAGGTCCCAGTCTGGACCTTCTAATACGGAGTATTAGGCTTACACACTACAATTATACTACCGAATGCCATCTTTTTTTCTGCGCGTATGTGTATCTGAAAGATGGCAGACTAAGCTTTCTTAGGGGAAGATCGTGTGTAACGAACTTGCTATACACAATGCACAACTATAAAAGTGCATTCGATAAAAAAACACACTGTAGATGTGGTCTACATCGATTTCCGGAAGACGCTTGACAGTGTTCCGCACCAACGTCTCCTTTACAAGTTGAGGGTAATGGGCATCGACTGCAAACTTCTTAAATGAATCGAGAATTTCCTAGTCCACCGTCCCCTAATTGTCTGCGTGGAGCAACATAAGGCAAGGCGCACAGTTGTAGAGAGTGGAGCCCCAAAAGGCTCAGTGCTCGGATCGACTCTCTTTCCCTTGTTCATCAATGATTGTGCAGAGGGGTTGGACTGTGGTAGTGCCATGATTGCAGAGCACATAAAAATCTGCCGACGAGATAAACTTCCAAGAACATCGTTGTCGATTGGACGAGTGGTCTCGCAGATAGCTCCGGTCCTTCAACTTTAACAAATTCACCATACTGTGCCTCGGGAATCGAAATTGGATCCTTAGTACGCGACAGTATTTTTCAAACGGGACGTCGCTCTGAGAAACGGAAACACATAATGATCTCAAAATCGGGAATGCAGACAAACAATAGCATTTTACCTTATGTCGTATGGCAGCTAAAGCCGCGACTTCAATGCTGTACGCCATCAAACAGGCATTAACAGTCTTCAATGAAGAATGCTTCTGCAAGGCCTTCGGTACGTTTGCAAGGCCGCATCTCGAATCTGCAATTCAGGCCTGGAGACCGTGGATGCAGCGGGATTACAACTTTGTCGAAAGAGTGTAGAGGCAATCAACAAAATTAATAAGGGGTCAAGGTGCACTGTCATATGAGACCCGCTTAACTTACTGTAATCTTTATCCTCAGACTTATAGGCAGTTGTGCGGAGACTTAATACAAACTTTCCGTTTCTTGCGTGGCTTGGACTGCACTCTCCGTTATAACGAAATTTTCGAACTTGCAATTATAAAAACCTCCGGGACATCCCTTCGAGCTACGTGTTCCAGAAGGAAGATTGGACGTGAGAAAGTATTTTTTATCCGACCGTGTCGTGGAACCATGGAACAACCTGCCTGAGGCGATTGTAATATCTCGGTCTGGGAGACAGTTAAATACTGGTCTGACAGACATATGTTACACCAACAAACGACCATGTGAATCGATGTCTGCATTTCTTTGCTGCTGGAATTTCTTCATGTTGTTGCTATGTTTTAAAATTCTTATATACACATAGGGAGTTCAAAGACATACGCCATTTCCCCAAGTACAATGAACACACTGAATACTGAAAAGCCCCTGATAACCCTATTTATATAGAATGATTTAGCAAATTCACAAACAAAATAAAGTTGCTAACATTTAGAACGTGATCGATTCACGATACACTATTGGTAAAAAGGAATCGGCTCTGTTCACCGTGACTAGGTATGAAAAGACTGGGGATGGCAAAGTGTTTTACAAGGCTTGTTGGAATTAGTCATACTGTAAAAGAAGTTTTTCGTGTCGACCCCACCATCTCACTTAGTAGGACCATTATCACAATATATTTGCCGTATGTATCGAACAAACAGTAGCAAGGACGCCTAAGAATACACTGCACGTATAATTGCTTTTTGGATAATGGGGATGTAGGCGAAGAATATGCGGGAGGAAAAATTATAGCCCGGGAAATTACCGCGACCCAGAACACGAAACGTGGAAGGTAAGTATAACGAGACGTTGCGATTTGGTCCATTTTGGTGAGAAAGGAATCCTGGATTAGGAGAGAAGATTAAGAAATAGGGATTTGCTCGCCACCGGCTGAATAATTTGCTGCTTATGTGAGAGATTACAGGGCCCACAAGGTCTCAGCTGGGATGGGGCCACGAACTCCGTAATTGAAAATGTGTTCAGTGAAAAAATAATCTTTATTAAAGACTCGTCAGGGTTTCATCAAAGCAAGTAAAAATAAATTTCCATATGAATTTTAGGCGAGATAGGCAGAATCTGTACAAAATGCAATTCATAGTTTCTGAATTTGTAGTCCATTAAGAAAAATGATGAGCGAGCGGTAAAAAAAGACTCCACTTTAAAATGTAAAAATGATTAAATTGATTTTACAGGAAAAAATAGCCCTCGATAATAATAACACAGAAATGCGGGTGGGACTGGCCTGCATGTGGCGGTATATAATCGATTATAATCGGACGTCGTCAGGGCAGAAATAAATGTCAGCTTTGAGGGATACGTGTGCAGGTCGGACAGGATTGGTCTGAATGTGGTACTGTTTACGGGATTCAGAACGGACTTCGTCGGGGTAGAATTTTTACGTCGAATGTGACTATTCGCGTCAAAGCGGCGAGATGACAGGAACCCAGACGCGATAGTTCACAGTCCGCTTCGAGTCTACCCGAGGAGTGGGGAAGGGAGGTACGACCAAACTACTAGAAGACGGCGAAATTCGGAGTCCAGCTGAAAAAATGCTTCCGTGCATGAGCTCCGCAAGGACATTCTTCCTTCTAAAAGTAGCAGGGTCTGGATTCGTTTTCTAAAATGACTTTTTGAGGTCACGGGGATGTTTTCGGGTTAGGACCTGGGTCTGCCTTGCCTAGTCAAAAGCCTTTTTATAGTGAGAATTTCCCCATCCTTCTGGACTGAAATGGCGTATTCATGGAGAAGATCTAGGTCGTGCGTTACTCGTTTTTTCGGGATGCACGACGTGGACTCTGGGGCAACCAATATTACGATATTTTTCTTACGATTTATGGACGAGCTCTTTATTGTCTAGTATGTATTTCGTACTTATTTGATTCTGCTTTCTTCTCGTTCGAATGAGGATGGTGGAGTTTATAATAAACTTATTCAGCATGTTCAAGGCCAGGACTTATTTCCAGTGCTTCAGGTTACCCCGAGTGCAATATCCTCAACGCTTTCGACCACTACAAAATAGTTTCTATTTAGAAGTTGCCGGATTGCCAGTTTATACAGTCGCTATAGTTTTATCTCATTACTTGTTTCTGCCGAATAGAACTAGGGAGTACTTTCTATACTGTCCCATATCTTATAGAGTAGAAGTTTGATCGTTGGAACTTCTAGTTTCATTCGGCCCTCTGAGGGCATCTTGTCAAAAAATCGAGCAGTAATCTAGCAGAAAAAAACATGCATTTTCCAAGGTTGTGTCTTTAGCGAATTCAAGACGATTTTTTCATATGAATGCACAGCGGCTAGCGTCCTTCGACGACTTTTTAAAGTGGGGGATGGGTCCAGAATAACTGTATAGTTCAGGCCTAAGTATTTATTGATCGTGTTTCCTTTATTTCATTATCCTCGAAAATAATGGCGGAAGTTGTTGGGGGTCAAAAATTAGGAGGTGTCATTTTGTCGGTAAAAAATGAAATCCAGGTACTTATTTGTGAAGGAACTACTGTACATATAATTAAGGCTGTGTCAATGACAGCAGTAACTCATACGTAGCGATGACTTTAAAATTTCCAGAATTGCTGCTGTAAAAATTCATTTTATTGCTATTTTTTGATATGCATAGAGAACTGAGGGCGAAGGCCTTGTTACTTTGACGTAACAGTCACCGTGAGGTATTTTTATTCCTAACTCTGGCACGTACTGTTAAATATCGTCGGTTCTTTTCTGTAAATGCAATTGCTATTTGGAATAAACTACCCATGAGTGTGAAAACTCTGCAAAATTATCCTTTTTTAAGAGAACCATTACTCGATTTTTGCATTCAGAAAAGCTCCCACAAATTTTGGGTGCTGAATCCACTGATCGACTGTACCGTAGCGATGGTCTTTTTGGTCTCTGAACACTATGACCGGTCTGACCAGCTGTTCCTCAACGCCTCTACGTTGGCTATCCCCAACTTCATGAAAGGAATTTGACGTCCGATAATCTCCGATACCGTGCAACCTCCCCCCTTTTTGACGGTCGATATTCTACAACCGCCGGCAGTTTTTTCTCCTGAGCCCTCCAAACCACAAAAACCACCATCAACTTTATTTTTATCCCTCAAGCTCAGGATTTTTTTCACTGCTGGTCGGATTTGTGTTTAATCGCCTCCCTTGACAATGCCTGTAAACTGGCATTAAATAAAAAATTTATTTATTTATTTAAAAGGATCTGGTCCTACAACCACGTATGCGCTTACATTCAGGCAGTTTTTAAGGTTCACTACGATACTAGATTTCTCGTGAAACCGAGGAAAATGCGCATTCAAAGAATGAGGCTAGCACAGTCAGGCTCCTTTAAGATAATGCCAGCAACGAAAAGGGGAAATTAATTACCTCCATGCCAAGTGATATATGTAATGCAGGCAAGGCAGAACAAAGTGATGAGTGTGATAAAACGTCGCCTCTATAATTGACAACTAGTGACAACGACGTGTCAACTTCCATAAGGCTTCAAATGCCTGCGATAGGGAGGGATGTGTAACACAGAGGGCAATGCTTGATAATTCAGGGGCCTCCCGAAACAACAGTCAAAATTCCCCAAGAGCAAGTCTCGGCAGATGCAATGCTCCATGAAGGTCTCCATAACGAAATTCCGCAGTACACCGAGGAGGCTGTGGTGCTCAAGACATTCCGACCTAGAAAGTCCTCAGTCGGCAAACCAGAGTATCCTGCAGTGTGCTGCCAGTTAGCTAGGAAAATGTTAGACTTATTCTTTCATGATGCTTCAGAAACAAGAATACCAACCGGGATATTTTCTAGCGGAATACTTGCAGTGAGAGGAAATGAAACACCAACAATTAGTTCAGGAACTGCAAATGAGATTGCAAAATGAGAAGAAAGTCTGGTTATCTACAACAACCGGATAATCCAACGTCTCCATATATTCCGATGGACAGAACCAAATCAAATGAAGGCCCACTTAATACACAAGCCGCTGGTTTTAAATTTGAAGATAAGTGGAGGATATTATTTCTAGTGGTTTTTCTGTGAGATCTAACGATGTTAGTTCCTGTTTTTTTGTTTGAATTTCCTTAAATACAGGCCTTTTATCTAAGAACTGCCCGCTGCTATCTTCTTTCGAGTTTTTCTAGTCTATGCCCGTTGTTCACTAATCGAACTTTGCGATTCTCATTTTGTGCATCCGATTTCTGTCTAACTGTTGTAATTTATTTTTACATCGTTAGCCCCTAGCTGAAATTCAGTCAAGTTGTCTGCCAGAAGGTTTCTTAATCACAAATTGCCTCGAGACAAGATGAGACCAAAAGTCACTGGTCGACGTAAGCTCTCGGCTCTTGTAAGTAAACATGGCCTAACTAAACGTAAGTCAGAAGCTTTACCTAAATCTAAGTCAGATGATATTTCTAGTCAGTCGTCACCCGTTGTAATTGGTCGGCAGCTTAATCTGTCTGCACTTGACCACTGCAATGACTTTATGCTAAAGTTTGGCTCCTTGCTGACAATTCTTGGACATTTATTCGACGGGAACATCTCCGATGTTCCCTCTGAAGAATGTAGGCGTCTCGACTCACTTGTTCACCTGATCGCCAGTGAATCTAGTGATAGACAGAAGCGTTCTTCCAACTTCCTGCTAAAAAATGTTCGTCGATCTGCTCGGCCAATTGATGTTGCGACCAGTTTCCTGTATTCATGTGGTTTCAATTATAAAACGGCTGATGCCAAACGCTTGTTCTCCCGTAGTACAAATCCACCCATCTTAGTCAAATTGTTTTCATCAATCGAAGTTGACACAATCTTTACTCATCGAGAGCGTGTCACTGCGTACCTAGAGAAGGCAAAATTTTTCCTTTGTCATGATCTTACTCCTATGGAGCGTAGAATGGGGTCTCTATTCTCACGTAATCCTACTGCTTCTCAGTCTAATGCTCCCCAACTCGGTCATAATACAAGTGGCCGTAAGGATTCAGCTTCTCCTACTCCTGCGACATCTGACTCCCTCCTTCCTCTTTCTCCTACATCTCCATTTCACTCAAGCTTCTTGACGCATTTGCCTGCCCCTAAACTCGCAGCAGCAGCAGCAGCAGCAGCAGCAGCAGCAGCAGCAGCAGCAGCAGCAGCAGCAGCAGCAGCAGCAGCAGCAGCAGCAGCAGCAGCAGCAGCAGCAGCAGCAGCAGCAGCAGCAGCAGCAGCAGCAGCAGCAGCAGCAGCAGCAGCAGCAGCGGCAGCAGCAGCAGCCCCATTTGTCGTTTCGTATCCTCCGGATAGTCCCGCTGAGACACATGAAAATCCGCCTACATCAGCTAGACCGATAACTTCTATTGTCCAACTGGGTTCTGTAAGGTCTACAGCTAAGCCACCCGTGGCTTGGCGTCAGAACGGTGAGACTCGAAAACTGAATCAGAATCCGACCCAAAAGATAGGTAGTACAGTTCCGTTTAGGGGTACGACGCCTTCTCTCAGATTTAACAAGTCTGTTCAGCCCAGCACGTCTACAAACCCCGCAGCTCCAATTATATCCTCGAATAATTCTCTGTCCTGCGTACCGGTTACTTATCAAAGCCCTACTATATATCCAGCAAATAATTCATACATGAATTGCCCTAAATCATTTATGCCCCAACCTAGTTCAGGCTTCCCACCACTTAAGGTCAATTGCTCTCAGGTACGTCAACCTATCTCCATTGACTTCCAATCTAGACCTGGTTTCCCACCATTTCATTCTTTTAGTGGCCTACCCTCACCCATTAGCCCCTACTTTCCTTCTAGCCTCCCTTCTCCTCCTCCTCCTCCTCCTCCTCCTCCTCCTCCTCCTCCTTCTTCTCCTCCTCCCCTTCCTCCATTATTTAACTACCAACAAGTCTATCCCTGTTCTAACTCCCCTTGTATTCCAATGTTTGAAAACTATATCCCCACCTACTTTAGATCTCATACTCAGCCTTCTCTTGCTGACTCCCCGTACGTCAATAACTCTAAGTTAACTGGTACTTATTCTCCAAGTGTCATTAGTTCGCAGCTTACATATCCGCCTCCAAATTTTTTTAAAATACCGTCGAAAATAGCATTGCCGTTCGAAACACATTAGATATTATATTATTGAATGCCAGGTCTTTTATAAACAAGATGGCCCAAATCAGAGCCGATGCTCTGGAAATGACGCCTGATATTTTAAGTGTAACAGAATCTTGGACCCATTCTCTAATTCCTGACTCTGCCCTTCTCATAGATGACTTCGATTTTTACCGCCAAGACCGCACGACTAGGCGTGGGGGTGGTTGTCTTCTTTATCTTAAATCCTACCTAAAGCACTCTCCCTATTACTTGGATGTTTGCTCATTCACGGGAAACTTCTGCTTTGCATCTGTTATTCTCTCGCCGCAAAGAAAGGCAATTATTGGCTGTATCTACAATCCCCCAAATTCTTTAGCCAGTGATGATTCACAACTCTGTGAAATCGTTAAATTAATTTCGGAAGCTGCTTTCGATGTTAAAATAATCACTGGGGATTTTAACCTTCCTGAAATTGACTGGGTTTCCAATAGCTGCCCACCCTGATTCCAGCCCTTTCAAGATATTGTCAATTTTTCTAATTGGTCCCAACTGGTGCGCTCTCCAACAAGAGATAATCACATTTTAGATCTAATCTTTACCAATGACATTGTTCCTCTTTCTGTTGCTTTAAAAAAGGACCTCTTTGACAGTGACCACGTATTAATTCATTGTTGCCGACCGCTTGCCTTTTCAAAAAAGACAAGTGCCGTTCAGACTTTCATGAACTACGACTGCGTAGATAGCGACGTAATAAATAACTATATGAGATCCTTGGATTGATGTGGCTTCCTCACTTGTAGCGATGTAGCCATTCTTCGTGATGTCATGTCCAATGTTTCCAAGGACATTCTAGAGTTGGTGCCGCATAGATATCTCAAGCCTAATTCTTCAGATTCTCTTGTTCCTCATTTTCTTCAGAACAGACAAACAAAGTTGAGGCGACAACTGCGTGACCCATCCACTAGTTCCTTATCTGTTCATCTTAGAATCACAGAGATATTTTAGATGGCCTCAAGGATGCGCCAAGCGCGCGACAGGCAAAGAGAATCAATTGCTCTCAGTGGTTCGAACCCTGTCAAATCCGTCGCTAACATCTTCCGTCATCGGTCCTCCTCTAAGCGTGGTCATGAACTTCCACCCATGCTAAATGATAACAACGTCTTCCTCACCGATGACACTGACAAGGCGGAGTTGTTTAGTGCTTTCTTTGCAAAACACCTTGCTACCGAGTCCGATCCGGTCCCTTTCTTTCGTTCACTTTCAGATAGGACACTTAGTACAATTGATGTCTCCTCAGATCTCATTAAGAAACACATAAGCCGTTTGAAATACTCGCACTGCTCAGGAACGGACGGGATTCCGAATTCGATTATTAAACAAGCGTCCGACTTTCCCTTATTGCTCAGTCATTTATTCTCGGTTTATATTTTAAAATGATTCTTTCCTGAAACACGGAAAACGTCAATTATCATTCCCGTTTTCAAGTCAGGATCTCGGTCCGATGTTAATAACTATCGGGGCGTGCACAAAACGCCGTCTCTAGCAAAACTTCTTGAAAGGATTATTTTCAATGAAATTCTTGACTTCTGTCTAGCTAATCGGCTTCTGAGCTCTAGTCAGCATGGGTTTTTACCTGAACGATCCTGCGAAACATGCCACTTGGCTTTTCTTAATCTAATCACTTCTCTTCGTAATGAACGGCAGTCAGTGGTTGTTACTTACTTTGATCTTAGCAAAGCCTTTGACAAGGTGCCCCATAGACGTCTTTTAGTAAAATTGGAAGCCCTCGGCATCCGGCCGCCTCTACTCGACTTCATCACGTCCTATCTGTCCAACCGATATCAGAAAGTCATGGTCGGTAATAGCTACTCGACACCCCACTCGATCACGAGTGGCGTACTTCAAGGCACGGTCCTGGGTCCGCTACTCTTCCTTCTGTACATCAATGATATTTCGACTGAACTCGGAAATTCGCAGACTTTTACTTATGCCGATGACCTCAAGTGTGTTTACTCATACTCTAAGGAGACCGCAAACGTTTGTGTTGAAAAAATTAATGCCGATTTACTACGCTTAAGCAGATGGGGTTCGACATGGCAGATGGAGTTTTCATCATCCAAGTGTAGTTTCATGTCTTTTGGTCCTACCAAACTTCCTGGTCCCATAATTTTTCAGAATAACCCACTCTCAGAATGCCTCACCATAAAGGACCTAGGTCTAAGTTATACAAATAAACTTGCTTTATCACCTCATGCAGATAGAATCTCTGCCAAAGCCGCGCAGATATGTGGATTCATATCGCATAATTTTTTCCTTCCGGAAATGAAGCTAAGACTTTATCAAATGTTTGTTCTTCCAGTCCTCAAATATTGCTGTCCTTTCTTCGGTTTAATGAACGCCTACGACCGTAATAAAATCGAAAATGTTCAGAGGGTTTTCACCCGGAAACTGTTCTCTCAAGCTTCGTCCAGTATTTCTTATACTCAGAGATGTCAGCTGGCGAACATTACGTTTTTGTGCGTTAGAAGACTCGAAGCTGGCCTATGATTCCTTTTTCGCATCAACTCTAGCTCCAGTCTTCCGCACATTGACACTCTCACTCCGAGAGATCGGTCTTATGCCACGCGCAACTCCTGCATGGTGATTCCGCCGCCTCTTTGTACTACATCTTAGTGCTCCCTCTTCTTTGCTTCCAAATATGCCTTCCTTTGGAATAATCTTCCGCCTGAAATTAGATTATCGCCTAGGTTACTGGTATTCAAGTCGAAATTACGCAACCATCTTACACCGGAAAGCATAAAGGCACTGTTAACGGTCTCATTCCCGAACACTCAGATTCTTGACTTCGAGAAGTGTCCTCCTGGGATTTAGTGGTAGATCTAGTGGTAACTCTTATTTATATCATTAGAAACCCCTGTTTTGAATTGGTTTCTAAATCCATTGCTCTCCTCCCCCGCATAGCGACAATTTTCGCGGTTTTTGATGTCATCTTCCGCATTCCGACCTCATGCGGTCTGTCGACACTCACGGCGGAACCCTCAGTCTTCACTGTTTACTAGTAGTTCGGTCGTACCTCCCTTCCTCACTGCTCGGCTGAGCTCGAAGCTGGCTGTGGCCGATCGCATCTGGGTTCCTCTCGTCTGGCCTCTTTGACGCGGCGTACCAATCAGGCCCAGACGATCTCAATTTTGAATCCCGTATACAATTCCATTTGCAAGCCAGTCCTCTCTGACCCACATTCGTACCCATCAAGGCTGACATTTATTGATACCCTGACGATGACCGACAACATTCCGTTATATACCGCCACGTACAGGCCAGTCCTGCTCGCTTTTTTTCTGTTATTATTTTTAAAGAGGGTTTTTTTCTCCTGTAAAATTAATCCAATCATTTTTAACTTTTTCTAAGGAGTTTTTTTTCACCCCTCAATCATCATGTTTCTCAATGGACTTCTAATTTAGAAACTAGGAATTGCATTTTGTAAAGATTCGGCCTACCTCGTCTAAAACTCGCATGCAAATTTATTTTTACTTGCTTTGATGGGACCCCGACGGGTCTTTTATAAAAATGATCTATCTATCTATCTTAAATGGAGATGACTCTGATTTGGGGCATCTTGCTTATTACAGGCCTGGCGTTCAGTAATATAAAATTTAATGGGTCTTGAACAACAGTGCTATTGTCGTCGGTATTTAGAAAAAAAACTTGGAGGCGGATATGTAGGCTGTGAATAAATGATGCTTGGAAAATAAGTACCAGTTGGCCTAGAATTATTGACGTACGGGGAGTCAGCAAGAGAAGGCTGGGCAGGAGGCCTAAAGGATGTGGGGATATAGTTGTCGAGCATTGGAATGCTAGGGGAGTTAGAACGGGGACAGACCTGTTAGTAGTCAAATTGTGGAGGGGGAGGAGGAGGAGGTGTAGGAGGAGGAGGGAGCCTAGAAGGAAGGTAGAGGCTGGGAGGAGGATGGGCAGCTAGGGAACAAAAGGATGGGGAACCAGGTCTAGATTGGAAGTCAAAGGAGTTAGGTTGACTTACGTGAGACAGTTGGCCCCAGTTAGTTGGAAGCCTGAACTAGATTGGGGCATAAATGACTTCGGGCAATGCAGGTATGAATTATTTACTGGACATATAGTAGGGCTTTGGTAAGTAACTGGTATGCAGGACAGAGAATTATTTGGGAGTATAATTAAAGCTACAGTTGTAGTCTATCCTCACGAACGAAAACGAACCTGCCCTTCCGGATTACGGTTTAGCGGAAGG